CCTCTTTCCAGTGAAACTTTTTCTTTCCATCAAACCATTTTGCACTAATTCAGAAAGCCTGTAACCATTTACTATCAGTCACATTACATTTCTAGTGTAGTCCTAGTTATTTCATCAGCACTTAAATTGGGAACCTGGAAGTAATGGATTTTTTCCAAGCTCTCCCCTAAAGCAAGCTCCTCTCAGTCTACCTACTGAAAGGGCATTGTAAGGTGTCAGAGAGTTTCAGTGACTATTTTCAATTAACCTGCAGAGAAGCTTGGGAACTGAACTTTATTATTCCCACAAAACTGAACTCAGGAGGAGTCATCTTTCCCATTTTTATTTTGGAGGTTTTCAGAAGATGAGGGGAAGGGGCAGGGAGAGAAGAGAAACTGACTCATAAGACATGTCACACAGGTAAAATGTGTGACAGTGACAATTAAGAAGTCCTAACACTGCATGTACATCTTCAGCCTCTGAACTACTCATTTTCAGTCAAGAACAAGATCTTGGGATATAACCAGGAATTATTTGAGAACAGCTCATTACTGAACCACAAGTCAGAGAAGGCACACTCTGGGCACTGTGCCACAACATAAGAATCTATAGTGTGCCGAATTCCTCAATACTTTGTACTGTTGTTAGAGCTAGAAAAGGCACAAAGAAGGGCAAGAAGGATGGTCAAAAGATAAAGTGTTGTTTTCTGAAAGCAAAACACTGACTTCCAGATTGACATCTCCCAAGAAGGATTTTTTCCCCACAATATCATCGGTCTCTTCATCTGTTCAAAGCCATATGTATTTAATATAGAAGTCTACTAAAAAAAGATGATTCCTATGGTCTGTGTCACAAATTTTTCTTCCAGTGGGAAATCAACTGTCAGAGCCCTGACATCTGCTATTGATGTGTAAAAGCAAAGCAGTTCACCGCTCTCTGTATAAAAGTACAACCTTATAACCAAAGCAGACAAGGGACGGTATAAAGCAACACACAAGATTTTGATCACAGAAGAAAATACTTCCTTGGACATGCTGACTAGTTCTTTTCATTGGCAAATTTTAAATACAAGGCTAGAAATCAATCTTGTAACTGTAAGCACTTTGTGTACTAGAGGCCCATAAGCTGCACAAATGAGTCTAGAGGAAAAAGCTGCCAGCTGCCACTATTCTAAAGACAGCATTATTTATGCCAGGAACTTGACCTTCCAACGCAGATCTGAAGTTTTCCCCCTAGAAAGAGGTAGGACAGTATTATTCAACATAGGTTTCTTCATCAGGATATTCTACTCTACAATAGCTCTGCAAAGAATATAAGGTTCAGTTCTGTGTTCTTGCAGTGTAAAGCCTCTTTAGCGTCCCTATCAGTTTGACAGATCATTTTACCACCTGACATGATCTTTTACAAAAAAAAAAAAAGCATAAAAGCAATAAAATTGTCAGAGGGGCCAGTTTTTGTTTTGAACTGACATGTCAGACCTACAGCACCACAGGAAATATGTCAGAGCATAGATATCTCTGTTGTTGGTATCACTTTCAAATCAGCATTCTCTACACCTATACACTGAAATATCTCCTCAAGAAGGTCTGGTTTTGTAGACTGAGATATGCTCATCTGTGTGTATACACACACAACTTACATATGCCTATACCATCAGCAGGATAGGTGAATACTTCTATACTATTTAATAGTTCTTAGATTGGGCCTACAAGTAATAATAACAGAAGTCAAAAAACAACAAAAGAAATTTCAGAGTGTTAAGTAACTGTTCATGCTGCACATAAAACATATTTAAGATACTTAACTAAAACATCAAAAATGTTCAAAAGGACTACCCGTGTATCTAGAACTTTGCCTTTCAAAAGACAGCTTGCTATTTTCAAAGACAAATGTAGTATGAAAGCGCAGCCATTTCTGGAACAGAGACTTACAAAACCTAGCAGGTGTGCAGAAGCCTGTGCTACATCACAGGAGTAACAAGCCTGAAGCAAAATGGCAAAGTAAACTATGCCTTTTACAGCAAAAACTAAAGGACCTTTAACATCCCTTCAGAATCAGGGTCAACAAGAGCTCACTTAAGATATACACAGTTACCTGCACAATATCTAGCACCAGCATCTGGATTTCAGCCTATCTTTCTAAGGAGAGAGATTTCATAGAATCACCGAATACCCTGAGTTGGAAGGGACACAAAAGGATCATCATAGTCCAACTCCCAGCCCTGCACAAGACCACCCCAAGAATCACACTGTGTGCCTGAGAGTGTTGTCCAAATGCTTCTTGAACTCTGTCAGGCTTGGTGCTGTGACCACTTCCCTGGGGAGCCTGTTCCAGTGTCCAACTACCATCTGGGTGAAGAATCTTTTCCTAATAGCTAACCTAAATCTCCTCTGACACAGCTTCATGCCATTCTTTTGGGTTCTGACGCTGGTCACTAGAGAGATCGGCGCCTGTCTCTCTGCTTCCCCTAACAAGGAAGTTGTATACTGCAATGAGGTCTCCCCTCAGTCGCCCTCAGGCTGAACAAGCCAAGTGACCTCAGCCATGTCTCATATGGCTTCCCTTCAAGACCTTCACCATCTTCATTGCCCTCCTTTGGACACTAAGAGCTTTCCTATATTGTGGTGCCCAAAACTGCACACAATATTCAAGGTGAGGCTGCCCTAGTGCAGAGCAGAGTGGGACAATCCCCTCCCTCAACTGGCTGGTGATGCTTTGCCTGATGCCCCCCAGGACACAGTTGGCCCTCCTGGCTGCCAGGCCACTGCTGACTCATATTCAACTTGCCATCGACCAGGGCCTCCAGGTCCCTTTCCATGGCACTGCTCTCCAGTGCCTAATTACCCAGTCCATATGTACACCCAGGGTTGCCCCAGCACAGATGCAGAATCCAGCACGTGTCTTTGTTAAACTTCATATAGTTAGTGATTGCTCAGCCCTCTGATTTGTCCTGGGCTCTCTGGAGGACCTCTCTGCCTTTGCGAGAGCCAACAGTTTCTCCCAATTTAGTATCATCAGCAAACTTACTCAGTATGCCTTCAAGTCTTGCATCCAAATGGTTTAGGAAGAAGTTGACAAGAATTAGCCCTAAAATGGAGCCCTGTGGAATCCCACTAGTGACCTGGTCACCAGCTTTATGTAACCCTATTCACTGTAACCCTTTGTGCCTGACCCATGAGCCAATTGCTCACCCACCACATGATGTGTTTATCCAGCTGTGGGATGGACATTTTGTCCAGAAGGATTCTGTCAGAGACAGCAATGAAAGCTTTACTGAAATCCAAAAAGATTACATCAACTCACTTCCCTTGATCAACTATGTTGGCTACCTTGTCATAAAAGGAAATTAAGTTTGACAAACAGGACTTTCCTCTCATGAAGCCCTACTGGCTGTGACCGATGACTGTGTTGTCCTTCAGGTGTTTTTCAATACCTCCAAGAATAATCTTCTCCATAATTTTACCAGTCATTGAAGTGAGACTGACAAGCCTATAGTTTCCAGAGTCATCCTTTTTGCCCTTTTTGAGAATCAGGACAATGTTAGCCATCTTCCAGTCAAGTGGGACCCCTCCAAATTCCCAAGACCATTCAAAACTCACTGAGAGATGCCTCATGATGACATCAGTCAGCTCTTTTGAGTATTCCTGGATGAATCCCATCAGGCCCCATAGATTTGTATTGAGCAGTAGATCCCACACAAGTTCAAGGTCGACTGGGAGTTTATTCTCACAGTCATGGTCCTCCAGCTCAGGGCACTGGGATGCCCTGATTTGAAATGTGGATTTCAAATTAAATCCACATATGCAAAATGGAAGTGAGTTACTGTCACAGTAGAAGATTTATCTTCTGAATTCCCAATCTTGTGCTGTTTTCTCATGCTAGAAAGTAACTCAGTAAACCTATCACTTCAGTCATTTGACTTTGACTATACAGAACAGAGTAATTAGCAAGTATGGGTACATCTTTTCTGTATATCTAAGATCACACCTGTCCTGCAATAACAATTTTTATACACAAGTATAGCAGCTTAGTAATGATCTAGCCTGGATTCTTGGGTTCTAATACCCAGACAAGCTACAAAACTCACATGTGATAAACACTTGCATTTCTCTTACAAATTGGCAAGAGCAGCCACCAGATCTGCCATTCTGCATTCACTAGGTTGCTGCTACATGGATCAGGAGTCTCCCTTCAACTGTTCCCTTAATGTCTAATAGGACTCAGATTTGGGTTTTCTGTTTTGTGGTTGTTGTGTTTTAGAGATTCTAGTTGTTTTGTTTCATAGCAGCAGCAGCGACACTGCTCTGCACTGGGCTACTGCAGACATATGAAGCAACACGCAATCATTGAGGTGGCAAACACAGCCCAGTCATCTGTGCCTCCCATGGAAGAGGGCAAACCATGACAAGTAGAAGGTCTCAGAGATGGACTTTTACCAGAGACTATCTCCTGAAGTGTACCTGCCTATCTAAGGAGACCCACAGAGCCACAGCCCCATTTCTAACAATATACAAAAATATGTAAATTGTTGTAACCCATTTAGGCCTGCATATTCTCCAGTCAATAATCTGATTATAATCAAAAGCCAGAAAGTCCCTCCACCAGTGGCAGCAGTTCCTGATCCACAGAAAAAAAGATTAATTCATTACTCATCAGAATATTCAGTAAATTACATCTGAGCTCTTCTCCTAAAAAAACACTGAGAAGAAAGCAAGGTTTGACCAACGTATGTCTCACTCCTAAGGATGCCTGATTGGAAAAGACTGCAGATGTAGTGTCAGAGCCTCCACAAAATTTCTAGGAGTCACTAATTAGCATACAAGTACTCCTCGACACATTAACAGTCAAAAGTACTGGATTAAAAAAACCCCAAACATAAAAAACGTCAACAAAACACAAAAAAACCCTTCCTACAATCAATCACCACAACAAAACAAACTCTTAGCTAATACAATTATATAAACTGTGAAAGTTCGGTTTAATTTGCCAAGTTTTCATGGGTTTTTTTTTATGAGATCTGATCTGCAGGGTAGGAAAACTGATACCAGTAGAAAGAAGCTTCACCTTCTTCCTTGGAGGGAAGCTTGGCTAAAATACACAACATCAATGTCCCTGGACCCTAGCGCTTTAAATACAAATAAATACATTTTTAAGTAATGTTGCAAAGGGATTCATTGGTGTACTGCTTTTAAAATTGATTTAATAGGAATCCGATACTTGGTACAAAAGAAAGACCCTACAGAGCCAAGACAGGGCGATTTTGTGCAAGCACACTGCTGCCCTCTCCTGGGGTGAATCCGATCCACTCCGGTCCTTACTCCACACAGCAGATCCTGAAGGAAGCTGCGTCTCCAAGACCATCAGGACTACTCTGGGAGCTAGAGATTTAAAATAAACAAAGTAAAAAAGCAGAAGAGTGAAATACACACAGATAAAGAATAAACACAGCAAGCTATTGATCATTATACAAACTATGATAATTCATCACCTTAAATCCTTAAATTCTACAGCAGTTCGTTCCTTCATTTAGATTGAAAAAAAATTTCCCAATAGTCACTGAAAGAGTTGTCAAGCATTGGTTCTGACTGCCCAGGGAAACGGTGGAATCACCTTTTCTCGAGGTATTTAAGACTCGTAAACGTGGCACTTAGGGATATCTTAGACTTAGTGTTTGGTTAATGGTTGGACTCGATCATCTTAAAGGTCTTTTCCAACCTAAATGATTCTATGACCTAATGCAGGAGAGCCCAAAAGTGATTTTCAGCATCAACAGCAGAGCCTGTGGGACAGCAGAATATTCTAAGAACTAAGATAAAATGGCAAACAGCAACTTTCACATTCATAAGCACCAAAGAGTTTTGATACTATTACTGCAGAGTAATGCAGAGTAACCATACAAAGTTACACAGGCTCTTAAATTGCTTTGATTTCAGTGGCATTAGAACAAAGATAAATTCTACTGTTAGTCAAAATCCTGCTTTTGATTACCCTTCATAAGCCCAGGGTAATTCATGGGCCTGGGTACACTTCCCATTTACCAAAGGTTAATGAGATGCCTTATGTAAGCCGAGCTTTAACTGGCAGAATGCAGGTTTAATCCCCAGCAAGCATGAGACAAAATACGTAGCTTAAGCCTCAGCAAAAGAAGAGTTAAGACAAATTGATTTTAATTTTGAGATGCAACTGCTAAGAATGAACACAGGCTAAGGTACTGCAGTTTAGCTGAAAGGCAACTTACTAAACTGCGGTAATCCTAAACCTACGTTCAAATCACAAAGTCTAATGTTATTGACAAAGTTTGGTCTTTACAGAATGTTTTAAAGCAATTCACAATTGTATTTTAAATTTAACTAATCACCTAAATAAATATAGTCTGAACATACGCATTTAATGGACTACAGAGGTATAAAACCAGTCCCTCAAATCACAGAAGCAAAAAAAAAACTAAGGTAAACAGAGGAGACGATGGCAGAGTCTCCTCCACAGGGCAGGTGGCCTGGACCTGTTCATGAACCACCTTGAGATGAGCAGCATTCCACTGCTACCAGCCCAAGCATAGCCAATTCCACAAACCCAGACTGAAAACAACTGATTGTATAGCAAACTGAAAGTCACCCATCCCTTTTGGGCATAAGCTTCATGAAAGTTAGCACTGCTGTGCAGCAGTAGGACATCCTACAACTCCAACATGAGCACAGCCTGCAAAACACACTCAGCATTAGGAAGGCCTCAGCTGAGTAGCGGTATATCCAGTTTTGGGGAACACACTTCAAGAAAAGATGTGTTCTCCATGGAAAGGGTCCAAAAAGGAAGGAGGAATCGAAGCTAAAAGTTGTCATCTATAATATCCTAGTGAATTAGCATTCTTTAGCCGCTCTTTAATCTAGAGGACAAGATTCAAAAGGAGACAGCATTTTCACATTTTCAAATATGGAATACAGTTGCAGAGAGCAAGGTAACAAATTGTTTTCTATATCCACAGAAGGTAGAAGGAATAGCAGTACTGGTTTTAAATTGCAGCAATAAGGTATTCAGGTAACACATCAGGAAACCTTTCAGTGAGAGATAAAACAATCAGAATAAACCAAACAAAAAGGCTTTAAGAAGAGGTTAGACAAACAATTGTTAAAGAACAACGTAGGCGTAAATGTGTGTATTTTATTTGTACATTTTATTAAACACATACATGGGAAACCAGTTATCTCTGAAATATCTTCCAGTCTATTCTTTATGACTTTTCATAGTAAATATCTGCAATAGAAGTGATAAAACAAATTATTTAATATACTTCTTCCCTGATGATAACTATTTCAGTGGCATGAATCACACAGCTTAGAAGCAGCATATTGGTCACAGAACCTGGAATGTTGCTCACTGGCACCAGAAATTAAAAAGATGAAACAAAGCAAACGAACAAAGCAGAGAATAAGATTACTGCAAAGCATTAGACATTCTGGATTATTATCCACAAGCCAGCAAACACCAGGAAAAAAAACATTCCCTGGAAGCCTGTCCACAGGTGTCTCAGTAGGAAATTTACATACAAATCATCAAGTACCAATACTGTATCAATCATCATTTTCAATCCAGTCTTCACCAGTGACAGTATTAACAACTTAACAGTTCACAAAAACTGTGATGCAGCTTTCTATAGGTGCTTCCACTCTTCCCCTGTTACTGTATTAAAATTCAAAATTATCTTGTAGAAGCTAAAGATCAGTATCACTAAACCACTATGAGAAACAGACCTAATCAACAAAATATGCCTTAGAATTAGACCATGCTGGTGGTCTGCCTTGTAAAGACAAAGAAATAGAGTTCACAAACTAGGTGATTTGTGCAGTTGTTGATATCTTTAAATTATTCCTTTCCTGGGCTATTTTAACTCTAAGCATTTTGAACTGTAAACATAGACCATGAGAGTGAGAAACAGAAAATACTATCTCCCAAAAACTACTCTCCTGCCAAGTGACAACAGCAAACTAGTGCAAAGTCTAAACATCCAAAGGAACAAAAATCTATTGCCTTTTTTCCAGTACTGGCATTTTCTTATTTAAGTTATTAAAGTGACCAAAAAAACCCCCTATCTTTTTGGAAGCAAAAAGGTTAAACTCGTTTCTCCACGATTTTTTTGTTAGCTATAGCGCACATTTTGTTTTAACCTTAATCATCCCTTAAATGAACAAACATTGTTACCATACTGGTTTTAATTTTTTCACCTCCAACCTGCTGCATAAACAGGAAGGGGAGGAGGAAGGCCACTGTACAAAAACAGCTTAAGGGCACCTTTAATCAGTGATTAAGAAGAAAAGGGGTTTACTACGCTGACTTCAAAGAGAGGGTGGCTACCATTACACCCTTTGTTGCTCTCAGCAACTGAGGAGTTGCTTCTGATTGCTGCAGCCCCCATTTTTCCCTCCCACCTTGTCCAATCGCTGCACACCCCCCAAAGCTGCCCCAGCACTCGTGCCTCAATACCACCCATCCAGCTGTTTGCTGCCCAGCAGTAGAAGGCTAAAAAAAAAAAAAAAAAAGGAAATTAATTATCAAGAGGTCTCAGCCAGGAAGGTCACTTTAGAGAGAGCACCTCTCTTTTTCTAAATTCTTGACAGCTGCCCAGAGCCAAAGGACGGCTTGTAGGCACCCAGCGAGAAAGAAGCAGCGGTACCCTTTTGGTGCTCGCACCACTCAAAGCACGCCACCACCAGCCACCCCCAGGCTTCCTCTTCTCTGCCCTGCATTGCTTCCCTACCGTGCTAAGCGACCCGTTTTTGCCCAAAAACTCCATCCCCGCACTCCAGGAACCCCCACACGCAGCCACCTCATCCCGCAGCCGCCTCGGAGCACCCCGCACAGCCCAGCACAGCCCGGGGTCCGGCCCCGCCCCCCCGCACGGCGCACGCGCTGGCCTGACCTCCTGCGGTTGGGCGAGGGAGCTGTCCGTCAATCGGCGGGCGCGGCCGCGGGCCAGTGAGGCGCGCCGTAGGGGCGAGGGCGGGGCGCTGGCGGCAGGGCGGGCGGGGCGCGGCGCGGGGACGACGCGGTGAGGGACGAGCGGGGGGCCCTGGGGACGCGGCGGGGACGCGTGGCTGCCGTCGCTGTCCTTCTGCCTCCGGGGTGTTTGGCCTCACCGACGCGAGGAGAGCCGCGGAGCTGGTCCCGGATCAGCGGGGAAGCCGACAGGCGCAGGGGAGCGCCCGTGGTGCGGGCGGTCGGCGGGCCTGGTCGTTACAGGATATAAGTGGTTGAAAAGAGGTCGCCTTAGGAGACCTGCCTTGTGCGTTGGAGCGTTCCAGGCAAGCAGAGGTTCAGCATGTGTGTATATTTGCTTTATAAGCAGAAATGAGGAGGCACTACGGGCGAGGCAAGGAAAAGCGTGGATGGAGCGGTCCCAAGCACGGCCCCCGCCGGCACAGGAGATCCGGTCACGGCAACCGCGCCGGAAGGCGAGTACCCGCACCGTGGGCTGGCAGGGGTTCAGCCATGGCGTGTCATGCCTAATTAAATCTGCAGAATGGTGACTTTCTAGGACTATGAGGGTATATCTGAGAGCTATATCTGCCATCCCTAGTGAGAGTGGAATTGCACTGACTTCTGGAAGTTTACTATATATTTACAACTGTACATTGATTTTAAGCTGAGATGTGGTTGCGTGAGCTAGTCCTTTCAGGTGTGCATGATCGTCCCTAAACTCTTCACCAATATGCAAAGATAGTTCAGGGAAGAAAAATGTCAGTGCTTCATTCTAACTGCCCGTTTATTTTGTGCCTTAGTGTCTACTGGTGTAAAAACTGTCATTAAAGAATCTTCCTGAATGTTTGAAAGCACGTTAAGTAATGTGGTAATAGTACCATATCTAGCAGATCAGGAAAATTAAGCAAAGTTTCACCAGCCTTGAAAACTGATTCTTTCAGAATAGTGCGTTTTATACTTTAGGACTTATACTTGCCTGTGTTGGAGCTGGTTTTATGGTTCTTTTTCATTCTCATATTCTTTCATTAGTGCCTCTTGCAGGACGAAGAGATGTCAATCCTTTGCTTTAATGCGCTAAGTTTTTATTATACATACTTTTAGAGAAAGAGACACACATATATGAGTTGCCACATTAGTTTCACTTGTATAAGAAAGGTTAGAAACACAAACGGGCCCTCGTTCAGTGAGTATAGAATTAAAAGGATTTTCTTAAAGAGTTTTAAAGTTAAGTGCTTGGGTTTGATCTAGGGTGTTTTTACCCTTGTATATCTGTTGTGTTCTTTATTTTCAAAGCTGTATAATCAAACAGCAGTAGAGCTGGTATTAGAACTAGAATTTCTTTATTGTTTTGTTTTCAAAAAGTTAAAACTCTTGCAAAACACCTTCACCTACTGTATTTAAGATTATATGTAATAAGACCTGTCCTAAAAAGTGAGAATTGTACAGGTGATTCAGAAAACATCCCAGTGGAATGTTGCTCATCAATACTGAATGTGCTTATTTATATTACTTCAAAAAGAGGAAAGCTGCAGTTACCTCATCTACTGCAATGTTTATTAGAAAAGCAGAGGCTTTTCATTCTTGGAGTTTTTATTAAACTTTTGTTTATTTTGAATGTTTCTGAACCTCATCAGTGAAATTCTTGTTATGAAGAGAATGGCAAAATATTTTTGATGTGACGTCAGTGTTTTACCCATGCTGTCTCTCAGTTTATGCTGAAAAGACTTGCAGGCTTTCAGGAGTGGGCTGTTCATTTAATGTAAAATTGCCCAGTTCATCTTTTGCCAGAAAGAGTTAAAGGTGCTTGCAGAATCAGCAGCCCCCTCTAATGTTTTAGCAAGTAGTTTAAGGCTTTTAGGATGCCTTTATCTCTAATGTTCTTGAGAGGTTTTTTAAGCTGAATATTTTCATTGTTTGATTTTCATAGTTTAATGTATGGTGACATGCGGAGTGTGCTTATCACAGCACTGCAAAACAGTACTCCATTAATGGCAATAATAATCTGCTTTCTAGATTCTTTGTGGGAAATGTGTAGGACAATTGTGAGTCTGTCTTGAAGGCAATGCTATTTTTTTAGTCTGGAACAGGAGGAACCACAGACCCCAGTGAATGCAGGTCCCAGCAGCAGTGGAGATCCTTCTTCATCCAGTTCAACACAGAACTCTGTAGTACCAGGTAAGAGATGGTGTTTACAGGTAAAAAAATCAGTTTCTATATGCTGATTGAAGGAAAAAAGTAGTAGTAGCTGCATTAATAGTCTGGTGTTACAGGAAAGTAATATCAGGTGATATAAAAAGATATAGTGAGTGAGGATCTGGAGAACAGGCCCAAATCACTTTCAGGCCCAGAAGTGCTTCTCATGTTTAAAAATTTGTGTGCTTAGCCAAGCTGATATAAGCTGAAAAAAGAGAAATTTGTTTCTCCCTCCAGAAATGCTGCTTTGGGAAGAAAATTAACTACTAAGGAAGCAAATAAAATAAGAAAGCATATAAGAAATTACTACTTGCATCCAGTTATTCAGTCTTTTGAAAGGCACAATGATCCACCACTTTGGAGAATCATCTCTCTTTATGCCTTCAGTGTATTTTGTAGTCTGTAAGAAATACACTCTGGCTAAATATTTGTTCATTAACAACAAATGATGAAGTATCAGTGCTGTTGAGGAAGATGTCCCATTTATGTTCTGGTTTCCTGACTCATTAAATAGTGCTAGCAAAAGCTACTCCTGTGGAAACATGTATTTCTCTGCAACAGGAGAGTCCTGAAACACCTCTGATTCTTAACAACAGGCAAAACCAGAGGGTTTTTGTATATCAATGTTTTATGTTGTGATTGTGTTAGGAGATGTATCCTGCAAGACATTTATTGCTATGTAATTAGATTCTGCATACTAAATGTAGTGTGCTTTTATTACCTTTACTGATTCATTGACTAACGTTTTATTTTTCCTGACCTGAATAAGTTTTGGTCGCTGAACCTAAAAGATGGGGACAAGGATTTGAATTGTAAGCAGCAGCAAAAAGAGGTTATTTAAAATGATAATTCTGGTAGTAGATAAAGTTTTAAATAAAAACTCTTGAAATGAAATGTAACAATTGCCTCTTCTGAATAAAATCCTTTGTCTTGAGACAATGTACCATTATGAATCTGTCAAAGTATTTTATCTGTCTGCCTCTGAATTCACCCAGACAATGAAGCACTAAAATTGAATGTTTCTCATCTCAATTTATCCTTGGATAGGGAGCCAAATATACTCTTGATTATATCTAAATCTCTCCTATGTGTTGAAGAAAAAGTATCTTGTTCTGGGAAGCGAATATCTTTATTTTGGTTTGTGTGATACCTCATTGTCAATTTTTTTGCTGCTGTTTGGGACTGTCCTACCTAGTTTTTTAACTAAGAATGTCCCCTCATGATTGATTTATGAAGAAAGATCATTTTTGTTCTGCAGCAAATCCTTTCTTCTTTTGCTCTTCTGATCTGTCTGAATTTCCTCTTGGTCAGTGGTGACATCCCTTTTGTACCTGTGTAATGGCACTGCATTTGAAAAGCTATAATCTTTTTTTCTCCTGTAAGTGGCTCATCTATTCCCAATCTTACTTGTATCATACTTGGGACCTGTTGGGAGCAAGAGCTTTGGGTTTTGTGACTGACATTCACATGAAGACTTGCAATATCAAAGAGCCATAAACAAACTTAGTTATCCATGTGATTTTGTCACTTTTTCTCCCCCACCCCCCAAGAACTCCCAGGATTTTATTATGACTCAGAAAAGAACCGCTATTTTCGCCTACTGCCTGGACATAATAACTACAACCCACTCACCAAGGAGAGCATTCAGCACAAGGTGATGGAATGCAAAAGACTGAGACTCTTAGAAGAGGAAGAAAAACAAAAGAAGGTATGTTCTGAAAAAGATTGCAATTAGGCTTTATTGTACTCTGGCCCAGGACAGCTTATAAACTAAAGCCTTTCAATTCTGACACAGTTCGATTTCTTTTTTGGCTAAGAATATATAGTCCTTGAAGCCTTTTATTTGACTGTTCCACACAGGAATGAAATCAAGTCTTTACAAACAAAAAACCTGTAAAAAGACAGGAACTGTGCTCAGAATTGCAGTTGTCCAACAGTTACACTTGAGTCAGAACACTGGATGCTAGGTTCCAGTATGCTGTCATTTGGAATAAGTGAGCAGTGTTCTTTTCCTTAGGCAATGAAGTGCTCCAACCAGCTATTCAGCTCTTTAGTCTCCACTGTGAAGAACATTTTGACTCTCAAATGATTGCTTTGTCTGAGCATTATAAAAAAGATTTCTTACTCTATAATTCTGCAAAGTGCTCTATCCTTTGGTCTCCTCAGAAAGTGTTTGCATGAAATTTTAAAAAATTATGAATCATAGAATGGCTTGGGTTGGAAGGGACCCTAAAGTTTATCTAGTTCCAACCCCCCTGCTGTGGGGAGAATAGAAATGGAATGGAAAAGCAGTTCAGTGCAACAGTAAGACTACATGCTTAGTAGCAATCTTGTTGCGATAGAATATTTTGCTGTATAATAAGAATTTAAGGTGTTATAGCGAAGCCAGAAGGTGACTTCACACCTCCAGGTGGTACTGCTGATTATGTAGAGTGAAAACAATGGCTATTGTTTTGGGGTATTTTTTTCTTCAGCTTTTATATTTATAGAAGCACCCCACATCTCACAGGAATATGTTCTTGTCTGCTTACTGTAGGAGACCATGGAGATGGTGCTGGAAAGTGTTTTATAGATGTTCTGAAAATTTTAATTTATGTAGGCTAAAGGAAAAAGTTACCTACATATCCCAAACATCTAAGACCCACAGCCATGTTCGAATCATAAACAAGCAAATAACTGAGTAGGCTTCCATGTT